CGGTGAGCTCATATAGGTGGTAGATCAGCAACCTGAGAGAGAATAGATCTCAAGAGCAAGATAAAAGGGCAATGGCAGTGCAAGCTTTCTGAAGTGATACAGCGTCATCATTTAGAACCATAACACTTAGTCTCTATACCTGGTCACTTCTCAGGCTCTCTGCTGGAACTGGCAACAGTCATTACTTGGTCCCTCGGGATGAAACTAAAACCACTATTCCATTTCAGATGTATCAGCAAATAGCAGTTATGGGGTATCTGCCGTTGCATCACATTAGATTCAGTAACCCAGAAATGAAAGGATCCCTGTCTCAACATATTCCCTGTCCAATTCCTCAGTATTTCTTTAAAATTAAGACATAAAATGGGCATAATGATATGACTTATATTTCTAGCATTACATCCTCCTCAGTTGTGTACTAAAGACATGGCCTATAAATGACTGTGCATGTGTGTCTGTATATACACACATATGTATGTATATATATTTCAGTTAAAATGGAGTCAGAACTGCAAACTGGATTGAGAGTCATCATCAGTTTGCAGAACTTTGAGTGGACAGAGCCAGTTTGCAAAATTCTACTCACTCATTGAAGTACACAAACTACTTTTTTGTTTGTTTGTTTTTAAGTTTGATAGACATGTATGGTATTAATAATAGTAACTGTCTGGGACCGTAGTTTTTGCATGGGGGCTGGTAAATTTTCGTTAACAATTTGGCAAGCCCAGAACATATGCACAAGGAGTTTTATCATCTGTGACAAATATCTGGATAATATTTTTCATTTTAGAAGTAATCCAAGTATGATTCAAGTCAAAGCTACCAGCGTAAGATAAGCATTGTCTACAGGTTATTTAACTGTCTCAAAATGCCATGAAGGCAAGAATACAACAAAACAGAAATTGACTGCCACGTTCCAGCATTTGGTTGCAGGCAGTGTACTGACCATAGCAGTAGAAGGTGGCCTTTCATGTGTTTTTTAGACTGATATACATCACTGCGTTTAAGAAATTTCATGATTCTTCTTTGCCTTTCACATTAATGAGTGGTAGACCACACAGTACCACATGTGCTCTGCTCGCTGCAGGATGCTACATTCTACCCTCCTCAGATGTACTGAGCATTGAAGTTTACTGCATCTGTGAAATGTGGGAAAACATGAAAAACAGGGACAAGAATTTTATGTTTTAGTCCCTTGTGGCTTCCACCCAAGACATCTTTCTCAGGTAATGTCACACGAGCAAACAACCCAAACACAGAAGGAATTGAGATAAGCACGAAGCAAGCTCTATTTCTGAACTGTGGGGAAAGTAGGAACTGAACCAATAAATCTCCCTTGCTCCTTCTGCAAGGGTATATGAGCAAGGCAGCTATATCCATAAAAGAGAGTGTCTTTCTTCCCTGCCAGCCTGTCTGAAGTAAATCCTGATGGAAATCCCATAGAATTCTTGGTCATTGTGTCAAGAATGAAAAAGAAAAAGACTCTTAGTTGTCCTTAGCTGCCACTCCACATTGAGGAGGAAAGCACTCATAAATGATCCTTAGCAGCGTGATCTAAGAGCTCCAAGTGAAGAACCTTTACTCCTGACATCTGCGACAGGGCTGCAGAGCTTGTTCTCCTTGTCCAAGAGGTTGGGAGGGGTAGCAGAAGACAATCCCATCCCTAAACTCAGGGGTAGTCCTCAGGAACTCAGCAAGCTGGAACTCACTGATCTGCCTTTCTCTTACATGCGTTACACACATGTAGAGAAGAATGGAGCCAAGAACTTTGTGGCTGGAGACTGGTGTTTAAAGTGGTCTGAAAAATGTGGAGAGGTCTATCATTATCCTGTCCCCTGCCTAGCAGTTAATTCTGCCCCTGCCCCCTCTTAACCCCCCAATTAAACCTTTGGCCCTAGTCCCAACATCAACTCTGCCCCAGTTCTTTTTCAGACTCTTAAAATCATAAAAAGAAGCAAGAAAGTAGGGAGAGCTACACAAGAGCTATGAGCTTCTGCAACCTTCTGGTGAGTAATGCCTTGAGAGGAATGACATTTTACAAAAGTTCTCAATTACATCTGTCCTGATATATTTTAAGCCTTTGTTGTGCATCAAAACTCAGAAATGAGGCAGAAGGTGTACTTTGGATCAGGAATTAGACTGGATTGAGGGCAAATCACAACAGCATTTAATTTTATGATAGCTCAAACACTTCATGATTTATCCATGACAAAGAGAAGTTGCGTGAATTGCAGTACTGAGAGCATAGGGTGCCAAGACACACTGCTTCGGGGCTGTCAGTTCAATGTAGTGTTTTACTTATTCATTCGATCAGGCACTGAAGAACTGGGTTTGATTATAAGATCTTTAGAACCAAGACTACCTATTTGTTTGTACCATGCATACTTCAGTGGAGTCTTGCTCCGATTTGAGCCTCAAGGTGTACTATTAAGCAAATGAGTAACACAAGAGTCAGTATCACAATCATGTCGATACAGAACACATTGGAAGATATTTATTTTCTATGCGTGACTAACATCCCATGGTTCTTAATAATATTCCAAGTCATCATCTTTCCCCTGGAAACTTAAGGACAATCCTTGCTTGCACATTATTTTTGTCTCTTGCCCACTTCCATTGAATGTCTGTGCATTCCCTTCCTCAGAGAGATTTTAATATGCCTGCAAAAGGTAACAGAATGTCAATGCAGTGTTGCAGCTAGTTGAAATAGTCAGAACAGTTCTTCAATAAATGCATCAAAAAGAGAAGTTGTGATTGGGTTGGCCCTCACTAGCAGCCAGTCTCCCACCCAGCTGTTCACTTGCTTCTGCCCCACCAGCAGGACAAGGGGAGAAAAGAGGAAAAACAGGAAAGAGAAAGCTTGTGGGTCAAGATAAAAACAGGGAGATTGCTTACCAATTACTATTACAGGCAAAACAGATTCGAATTGGGGAAATTAATATATTGCCAATTAGAATAAATCATTACTGATTTGAGTAGTAGGAAACAAAAAAAAAAGAAAAAGAGGAAATGAACATTTACACACTTAAAGAAAACACTTTTCCTCCACCTTTCCCAGGTTCAAGTTCACTCCAAGCACCTCTCCTCCCCTCATTATCACCCCAGGTTGCACTCAGTCCCTTCGGTGAGGCACTGGGAAGCCCCTTCTTCCTTCTCACTCTTTTCCTCTGCTGCAGTGTGGGTCCTCCACGGGTTGCAGGGAATGCCTGCTTCACCATGAAGCACCTCCACCTCCACCTCCACCTCCACCTCCACCTCCCCCCACCTCCACCTCCACGTTCCCTCTGTTGTTTTTCACTCATTTTACTTCCCTCCTCCTCTCTTTGGCTTTCTTTGCTCTTTCTTAAATATGTTTCCCCAAGATGCCACCATCTTGGCTGATGGGCTCAGCTGTGTCCTGTTCCCTCTGTTGTTTTTCACTCATTTTACTTCCCTCCTCCTCTCTTTGGCTTTCTTTGCTCTTTCTTAAATATGTTTCCCCAAGATGCCACCATCTTGGCTGATGGGCTCAGCTGTGTCCTGTGATGGGTCCACTGGAACAGGCTGGAACTAGCTGTGCCTGGCACAGGGCAGCCCCAGGCTCTCCTCCCAGAGGCTGCGCCTACCTTGCCATTTATACCCAATACACCAGGTGTGACCCCCTCTGTATCAAAGTGGAGAGAAGCTGTCCCACCAAGAGCAGCAGTGGTCTTTTGTGGATATCTCACCCCACCAGCAGACTGATCAGGTGACCGCAGAGAGGGTGGTTGAGGACAACCACCAGGGAGAGGGTCATGAGGGAAGGAGAGGAAACCACTCAAAGGCAGCGGGAACACTTGAGCTATTGGGAGGGACTGGGCAGGGCAGGCAAATTTCCAGTGGTATTGGAGAGCGGGCTGCAACTGAAGCTGGTGGGAGAGACCTCTCAAACTGCACAAGACCTCTACTTTGTCATTGCATTAGCCT